AAAAAAAAAAAAAAAAAAAAAAAAAAAAAAAATCCAGCTTTTGCAGCGTTAAAGTCCCAGGTGAGCAAGGCCTATTTCCCTTTCTGTTACTATGACAACGAAATTTTACCGCAGTCCCAAAGTCCCTTCAGAACTCTACCATCCACGCCTTGAATTAGAACTTTAAAGGAAAAGATATACATTTTTTCCCCAGGATTTACCAACAAAAATAAGTAGAAATCAACAATGCTTCCAAAAATTCTATTTTAAAGCAACGGTTGGTGAGATGCCGTCGTGGTGGCCTTCTGTTTATTTTTATTTCTTTAACGATCACACGAAAGAATTAGAGAGCGTGCCAATTAATTGTATTTAGCACTTGAAAAAAGAAAACCTGATGGGGAGATAAACAGTAAATGATGAAAGAGGAGAGAAGAGGAATTGCCCTTTCAGAGAATTTTCTCTAGATTTGCTAAAAATATTTGGCCAAGTGTTCCTGACCCCTATCTATAAATAAGGTTGGGTGTGAATTTGGAAAGAATAGCTAAATATTTTTTTCCCTAATTTTATAGCATCTGCTTTTCACTTCTCTCTTTGCATCCTTTCTGGGGCGGGGGCTAAGCATTGCTTCCTGGGCCATGAAGGTGTCCAGGGCCTTTATCCGAGGTACCAGGCAGAGAATAACAAGGCAGAGGAAGCACTCCTTGCTGCTTTATGCGGTGTTCACATTCACAGCCTGCCTCTGCTTTCGAAAGTGCAGCGGGGCGTCTGTCCAGAGCAGCCGGAGTGCGTTAGAAAGGAGAGCTGCTTGTATTTGAGAACAGATTGGTCAAAATTCAAGCATTTTCTTTCTTAAGGCGAAGCATTCTTTCACTTGCGCCTTCCTAGCGGGGTCACCTACAGCAACTTAAAATACCTGGAGATGCTCTCACAAAAGACTTAAAACTGGCCTTTTCCTCACTTGAGTCTCTTTCCAAACCATAACCCCTGCCCTCACACCACCTTTGCCCTCCAACACCCGCCCCTCCCCCATGAGTGATTTACATCTTTTCCCCTACTAAAAGCACATTTTCTTTTTCTCACAAATTCCTTGGGTTTTGGCAAGTTTTGGCACAACTGGACTCCTTAGAATGCATTCTGTGGGTTATACCTCCCCTCACCTACCCACACCCCTCACCTTCTCGAAAACGTATCTGTTGAAAACATTAATGTTCATGAAGGCATTATTATATGAATGGTATGAAAGTGCAAAGGAGATAAATGTTTACATAAAATCAAATTGATTTAGGGAAAG